TGTCAAATGTCTGCTTACGCATACAAACGTGGCTCTTAGAGGCCCGGATTCTTCAAGTTCCTATAGTCTTTAGTAAATGTTGTCCTTTTTGAGACAGGATCATCCTGTGTAGCTCAGCGTAGCCTCAAACACACAGCAATCCTCCTGCTTGGGCCACTCCCCACCCCCAAGTGCTGAGTTTACACAGGAGCATATGCCACCACCCCATCTTTCTTTGGCTCTCTGTTAAGTATAAAATAAACTTTCTATTTTTGTTTTGAGCTACTACGATAATTTTCAAAACTGTACCATTGGTCTTCAATTCATCTAAACCTGCCCCAAACATCCAGTACTCTCCGAAAACAAACCAACCCTCACCAGGTTGTGATAAGCGTCTCCTGAATGGGACCGTGTCGTTGGTCAGCCCACTCTGGATTTGGCTAGTCTTTGTTAAATGTGTCTCAAATAAACAAGTGTCTGTTCTGGCACTGGTGGAAGACATGGAATGCAGAGTCTGGCCAAAGCAGTATGAGACTGGTTAGTTCTTCAGCTACTTAGCAGCTAACATCCACTGTCACTGTCATGAGGAAATGCCTTCCAGTTGGAAAACAAAAGTTATTCTGCCGCCAAGCAACCAGCATAGTCATCACTTAATTCTACAGGAAGACAGGCGCATGCTGGTTGCTTTGCTGAGCAGGAACTCCTGCATCTGAACTGTGCTAATCACTACACTGGCAGATAAATGTATCGTTGCTTACCTTGCTGAGCTTTGAACATGTTTACCATCTGGGGTGTGATTCATAAGTGTGTTCTATAGGTTTGCTTGACTGTGGGAAATCTAAGGACTTCCAGAAGAGTTCATTAGCTACGTTTGCTCCTAGCAAACGCCAGGGCTGATTGAGACAAACTGCAAGGGATGGGGTGTGGCTGCTGTCCACTGGCTCTCTGGAGATGCTTGTGTGCTTTTCTAAACTGGAACACTTGAAAACTAAATTCTTGTTTGATATTTTATTAATTAGTTATACAAGTTAGTTCTGTAGTCACTATGTAGATAAGGTATTCCTTTAGATAATATGACTAACGGGGCAATAATAATGAACCCAGGTTCTTCTTCCAGGAAAAGGTTTTTTAGTATTTGTTAAGAATGTGAGAAGGCCGGGAACATAGCTCTGTTGTAGGCTTTCTTGTCTAGCATTCAGGAAGCCCTGGGCTTAATCCTTAGCACCTCATAAACTGGGTATGGTGTTACAAGCCTGTTATTCCAGCGCTTGGGAGGTAGGGGCAAGATCAGAAGTTCAAAGCTATCCTTGGCTACTCAACATTTTGAGGCCATACTGGCACATCTGTAATTCCAGCCATCCAGAGGTCGAGGCAGCAGGATTTTGATTTCCTGAGGCAATCCTGATCTCAGCAAGACTGTCTCAAACATAAAGAAAACACTGAGGGGAGATGGGGTTATAGCTCGGCAGGGAAACCTTGTCTGCATTCAGAAGGCGGAATGCCCTGCTCTGTAAAGATACTTGAGTAGACTTTTGGGTAGGAAATCTTCTGTTCTTTTAGATTACATGTGAGGATTTTTTAAAATTTGGGGTTTGTTTTATTCATTTCCTTATCTTCGTTTTTATTTTTTAATTTCTCCCGGAGAAGTAAGAGATACTCTTAAGTAATTTGTCTTTAGGCGGAAATGTTGAAGGGATCCATAGAGCAAATGCTAGCCCTTTCCAAGAGAAAGCCTAGTGAGTTTCCTCAGGGTTCTGCTCGAGGATTTTGTAATCAGACTGTTAGAAGTGTTGTTTTGGAGTCTTGGACAGAGGGGAGATTCCAGTATTGTTTAACTTAGATCTTGAGGCCCACCCTCCAAGGACATTAGAGCCTCTTCCAACACTTATCTCCTCCCCCACCCTTTCCTCCTCCTCCTGCTCTGCAGTGACGGGTGTGGTGGTGGTGACCTATATTAAAACATGGCATTAGTAGTCTTAGAAAGAACAGAAGATGAAAATATATGAGGTTTTTTTTCTTCTAGGAAAAAATAAACTTTTTGACAGTTAACATATTCTCAGTATTCCCAGCTCCAGACCCCTGAGGGGCCTGCTAGAAGGATTGACTGGCCATGTGCCCCGATTTGGGAGTCAGCCCACCTGAAACACACTGCACTGCCGCAGAAAGTAGGGTTCCTATAAGGGAGACCTGTAGGGGAAGTGTGTGGGGAGGCTGGGTGTAGGCCTCGACTTTACACACCCCTTTGCTTTATCAGCATTAAATTCTGCTAAGTCATGAGGCCTTGTGGTGGGGACATGACTCTCTAGTACAGGCCGTGGGGCACCATGCCCTGCTGTGGGGGCACACCTGCCCTGTCCAGCAGGGACTAGGGCGGCACATGGCCATGCTGAGCCCTCACTGGCCATGTTGGCCTGGGAAATTGAGGAACCCAGAGGGTGTGCTCCACCATGTTCTGCAGGGTTCATGAGATGCAGATTGGGGGCCTGTGCCTTGGGTTGGTTCTTCGTTTTGGAATAGTATTGGAGGATGCTACTGGGTTTCTCAAAGGGGATGATTCTGGATAAGTCGAACTCAGGAATGCTGGTATGTAGGGCTGGGCAGGATTACCTGTCTCACTTGTTCATGATGGGTGACACCCCAGGGAGACCCCAAGTGGGTATGTCGCCCATGAGCTTATGCGGCCAGCCTTGTCTTTGCCCATTGCCCATTAGGTGCCTCTGGGTGGGTAGGTTTTTAAAGTACAAATGGTGAGCTCACTGGGAGCTTGTCTCACGGGAGAGAAGCATTAAGACCTAGAGTCAGAGTGTTGTGTTGACTCTGTACCAAATGTATTGCAAAAAGTTTGTGCAACAGCCAATTAAACGTTCTTGCTAGTACTATACCAGTTGCGTAACAGTTGCACCTACTTCACAAATGAAGAAACCAAGGCTAGGTCAAGGAAGCACAGTCAGTCAAGGGCAGTGGCTGAGATCTAGAATCCTGATTGCCAAGTGCCTCCCTCTGCAAGACTCAGCTAGAGGCTCCAGGTTGGGAAATGACTACTGACAGAGATGAGGGACTCTTAAATCCAGAATGGAGTTAGCTAAGACCTTCCTAAAACTTGTTAAAATGTTTAATTGAATATTTTTGAGACTATCATGCATAAGAACTGCATTTACATAATTCTGCCGTTCCCTCCCTGCCTTTCCTTTCCCCCTTTCAACTCCTGCTTTGCCCACACTTGCACTTCACTCTTTAATCACACTCACAAACACACAAAGTGTCCTGAGTCTACTTAGTATTGCTCATATGGAGATATACTTGGGGCTGACCACTTGGGATTGAGTAACCCATTAGGGTTATTCCCTAGGGGGAGCAGAAATGAATCTTTCCCTTTTGGCAGCCTTCAGTTGCCTGTAGTTCTTTATCTAGGTGTGGGGCCTTGTGAGGGTTCCCCCATTCACGTTGGCACCTCAGCTGCTGTCATTATACAGTGCTTGTTTAGGCAACAAGTTGTGATTTCGTGAATAGAAATTCCCATCATATCTAGAAGATGCTGTCTCAGAGCAGCTATCCTGGTTTTCTGGCACTTAGAATATTTTCTCCCCGCGCTTCCCCAGTGTTTCCTGAGCCTTGAGTGTAGGGATTGTGTTGTAGGTAAACTAGTTGGGGCCTGACATCCCACAACCATTTATCTTCTACATTTTGACTAGTTGTGGATCTCTGTAATAGTCCCTATATATTGCAAAGGGGAGCTTCTTTGATGAGGTGTAAAAGCTACACATATCTGTGGGGATAAAGATCAGTATTTAAGATAAAGTTAAAAAATATATTGATTTATATATCAGTCAGAGTACTCTAGAGTAACAGAATTTATAGAATGGATCTCGATCTAGTGTACATATATAGAGAAAGGGAATTTGTTAGTCTACAAAGTGTAGTCTCGCTAATCCAACAATAGCTGGCTATTAATGGAAAGTCTAAGAATGCAGGAGTTTCTCAGTCCCCGAGACTGGATGTCTCAGCTAGTCTCAGTAGGAATGGGCTTCTAATACCAGTGAAGGAATGGGCTTGATAACAAGGTGAGGGCAGGCAGGCAACGAGCAAAAGCCTCCTCCTTCTTTGTCCTGGTACAGGCTTCCATCAGAAGGTGAGGCCCAGATTAAAGGTGTATCTCCCCACCTCATCCAGATTAGAGATGGATCTGTATACTTCAGATTAAACAAAAGTCCCTAAATGTTGTGCCCTCCATTTTTGGATATTAGTTAATTCCATATGTAGTCAAGTTGACAACTAAAAATAGCCATCGTGGTTTAGAGAAATGGCAGTGGTAAGTTCTTCTCTAAGGTCCTCTCCAGCCACAGGCTAGGTTTACACACCACCAGGTGTGCATTTCCTCATACTGAGCAGGCCTTAAGTCCAATTAGACAGTTGTTGGTTACCCCCAAGATAAAGATGCCACTATTGCCCTTTACGGCTATCTTACCTCACTGGTGATTGTTGCAGTTCGTAGGCTTTCCATCTGGTAAGACTATTGACGGATTTTCTCCCTTCGCAGTTTGCATAACGCTTTTGGATAGTATGTGAGCTAGTCTCTGGGGAGGAAGCTTCCCGGTCAATTCCAGCTTGGTTCCTCCAAGTTCGGTGTCCAAAGTGTGTGGTGTTTCAGCAGTAGAGTCGTAACTTCAAGTTCTGGGAGGCAACTACAAGAAGTGTCAACAGCTTGTCTTATTTTGGGATTCTCTTAAGACTCGCCTGGTGAACAACTTCCCGTGCCTCGCACTGGGGTTTCGTTAGTTCATGCCTCGTGGGGGAGTGTTATCGCCCCATGTGACAAAATAGTGTCATCGTATTTACATGATTGCACTAGAGTGACTTTAATTCCTAGAGCTGCAAACCAGTTTTTAGATATTTCTTGTATAATTGAGAGATAAAATAGCTTTGCAATTGTAGACCTTCGTAGGGTCGAGGATGACTAGGCAAAAAGCTTTTGATCAAGTTATGTGTATGAACAGTGACTTTTGCCCTCCTGACTGTAATAGGATTTCCGGGGTGCTGTAGCCCGTGCGTCCAGGCAACTCGGGAAGCCCGTGATTGAGGACCGGATTCTTAACCAGATCCTGTACTACCTGCCTCAGCTGTATGAGCTCAACCGGGATCTCCTGAAGGAACTGGAGGAGCGGATGCTGAGCTGGTAAAATGTGGCCACTTAGGCTTCCCAAGAGGCCCCACTGGGGAGAGGGAGAGTGCTGTCCCTTACACAGCGTTGTTTCAGTATGTTGGAATTTTTGACAGTTACCTGTAGATTGACTATTTCTGGTGGCCATACCATGGGACACTTGATTTAAATACATGCCATTAAAAAGTTCTTCAATAATGCCTGATCAGACACAAGCCGAGCCAATTTAGCTAGTTCCTTTTTGTTTGTTTGTTTTGTTTTGTTTTTCTGTTTATTTATTGAGACAGAGTTTCACTTCCTGATATATTTTGGGCTGTAATTTTTTTAATTATTTAAATCATCATTGGTGAAAATGAAGTATAATTTCCAAAATAATTCTTGTACATAGTTTATCCTTAATTCTTTATATAATTTTATATTAACATTACCCTGAATTGGCTTTAAAACCTAACTATAGGCATATATATATGTAGTAGAAAGAGGTTTACATGTTTTTTGCTTGTACTAAAGGCTTCCTCACATTTTGGATCTGTAGGTGATCTGTATTAGAAATATTAAGCATTCTTAAGAACCAGACTAAATTAACAAAAGAGATAACTAACTCTTCAATTATGGAAAAAAATTTCACTTATTCTTAACAAAATAGTTCAGGTCTTTGAATAAGGTATTGTCTCTCAGAATTTTTCACGGAAGCTTGTAGAGCAGGCTTGCAACGCCCAAATAGTTGGGAAGCCGAGGCAAGAGGACCACAAGTCCACTGAGTTGTTTGGGCAACTCACTGAGTCTCTATCTCAATGGAAAACGTGAAAGACAGGCTGGCAAGATGGCTCAGTGGGTAAAGGTGCTTGCCACTGATCCTCAGAACCGGCATGGTAAAAGGACAGAAGTGATCCCCAAAACTTGTCCCCCGACCGTACATTCATGCCCCACACAAAATAAATAAGTCAACCCACAAATATTTTTTAAAATTAAAAAGAGCTGGGGATTTAGCTTAATGGTTTGCCTATCATGCAAGAAGCCCCGGGCTCAAATATATATTTGTATTATAGTATTTAGAGCACCAAATATTCTATATGTAGTTTGAAATGTGCGTGTTTGTCTTAGTGAAACTGATTTAAGGGTGCCCACAGTTAGAGAAATTATAGTATTTTCAATTCTGGACCAGATAGGGAGGGGTCAGTCTTTCTCTATAAAATAGAAGTTTGAAACTCTGGGTAAGGACCATTGCTTGGTGACTCTGAGATGGTTAAGCTGGAGTGCAGTATCTCTCTGCCAGGGAAACCTGCAAGCAGAGCCCACCTTGTTGACCTGGAAAGTCGTGGCCCTGTGCCTTACCATGGTGACACCTCTGCTCTGCTGTCTTGTAGGACATCCTTAGCTAGGACTAACTTTTCACCGTGATCTCCAGGCCATAGATCATGTTCTGCTTCATAAGGAAGGGCATGGTCCAAGGCCGCTGCTGCCTCTTAATCTATCTGCTGCCTGCTGGCAATTCAGTTTTGTTGGGGTAGAGCCATGAGAATGAAGGTACTTACAGCTGTGGTCAAGGAATCCACGTCCTTTTCACTACCACCACCTTGTGTAAGAGGAGCAGCATGCCTGCCTCCTGTTTATATGATTTTTTAAAAATAAGTTATTGTATTGATTTTTTTTTAAGAGTTTCAATTTGTAGCTGCCTTGGCTTTGGATCTACTATGAAGTGTAGGCTAATCTTGAAATCAGGATGATCCTCCTATCTCACCCTTCTGAGTACCAAATTACAGGAGTGAGCCACCATGCCTAACAGCTGTGACTATCCACTGTGCTGGCTGGTTATCTACGTATGACAAGTGTATCATATAGTACACATAATATACAAAGGTCTTACTTTCATGGGACAGACATTCTACTGGGGCTTAGTCAAAGGCTACGACATGGGAATGGACTCCAGTATGTTTAAAGAACACAAAGAAGTTCTGCAGAACAGGAAAAGGGGAAGCGAATCATGGCCTGGGCCAACCAGCCAGGAAAGCATAGTAGCCCTTGTGTTCATAGAATATATTTCTGTTCTCAGAGCAATAAAAGGACCTTGGAGCTGGGTGTTGTAGCACTGAGCTGTAATCATAGCAGGAGAAAAGCGGAGACAGGCGGATCGTGAGTTCAAGGCTAGTCTGGGTAGCTTACTGAGACCATCTCAGTACACACACACACACACATTCTGAAAAGGAGGTATCATTGGAAGTTACACAATAGGATGTATATTTTTTAGGATCTGAGAACAGAGTACAGAGGACAAGAATGGAAAAAGGAGACCAATCAGAGCTGACAGAGTCTGGATAAGATGTGTTCATGGCAGGGCCAATGATAAAGAAGAGAGAAAAAGTTAGAAAGACGAGCTGGTGACTTAGCTGTGCCTCAGACACATCAATGACTGCTTTTATGTTTTCGTGTGTCCTCTATCCATAGGACCGAACAACAAAGAATTGCTGATATCTTTGTAAAGAAGGGGCCATACTTAAAAATGTATTCCACATACATCAAAGAATTTGACAAGAACATCGCTTTGCTGGATGAGCAGTGCAAGAAAAATCCAAGCTTCGCTGCGGTTGTCAGAGAATTCGAGGTATTTGCTATCACAGAGTGTTTAACTTTTTTCTTAATTTTTTTAATGCCTTAGTCTTTTATGATCATTGGAAACAACACATTTGAGTAAAAATATTAAAATATAATCTCCTTCATCAGGCAATGGTGGCACACGCTCTTACTCTCAGCACTTGGGAGGCAGAGGCAGGCAGATCTGAGTTAGAGGCCAGCCTGGTCTACAGAGTGAGTTCTAGGACAGAGAAACTCTGTTTCCAAAAAAAAAAAAGCCCAATGAATAAATGATAAAAATAATCTCTCTTAAATCTTAGAAGAGATTAAGATCAAATAAACTGGTAAAAATTCAATATAGTCCAATATTCAGTTCTGAAGCTCTATTATTGCATATTGTACTGTTTAAATTGGGTGAACAATATTTTGTCTAGGGGAAGTTAATTTGTTTAAAACAAGGTTTCACTGTATAACCATGCTGGCCTCAAAATCCTGGCTTTCAACTCTTGTCATCTGGGTGTAGGAGCGCAGATCTGTGCTCCCAGGACTTGGGAGGCTGAGGCAGATAGAGACGGAATTTAAAGTCATCCTTAGATACATATTGAATTCCTGTCAGCATGGACAACATGAATTCCGAGAGAGAGAGAGAGAGAGAGGGAGGGAGGGAGGGAGAGAGAGAGAGAGAGAGAGAGAGAGAGAGAGAGAGAGAGAGAGAACTAACAAGCTAGCTTGGAGCATAAAGGCACGTGCTGCCACGTCTGGGATCCCATGTGTGGAAGGTGACAACTGACTCCTGAAAGCTGTCCTCTGACCTCAGCATGTATGCAGGGGCACATGTGCACACAACATGTACACACATGTACACTCACACACACACACTAAATAAATTAAGGAATAAACAAATAATCTTATTTTTTTTAGGCCTGTGGTAAATGCATATACCACTAACTTACGACCTTAGCCACTCTGTGTATAATTCTGTGGTATGAGATACGTGGACAGTATTGTGCAACCATCTTTCTAAAGCATGCGTAGTCTTGCAAAGTTGAGATTCCGTGGCCATTAAACATTACCTTGTCCTCCTCCTCTACCCTGGCCGGCCTCCCTGACTGTGCCTTCTGCCTCGATGGATTTGAGTACGAAGGGATCCTTTCCTGTGTTCAACCAACATTTCTTCTGTTTGTCTGAGAGCTTCACATACAGTAATGGAAAGGAACACAGTTTTTATTAGATAAGCAGATAAATTCAGTTTTAGCATCACAGTTAAAAACGTTGCCTTTGCTTTATTTTATGTGCCAGCTAAAGCTCTGTGTTTTGCCTGAAGCTTGGAGGCGTACACTTGTTAGGATAGATGATATTGTACACTGTAACCCAGGCTTGTTTCAAGTCGGTCTTGCAATCAGGGCTGTCCTTGAACCCTGGCCCGCCTGCCTCTACCTCCCGAGCACTGCTATCACATACTTTTCTTTTTAAAAAACAATTAGTTTCATTCTACTCCTATCAGTTTGGGTTACTATATTTTAGCTAAAATGGTCAGTATATTCTAGCCACACAAAATAAGAAATGAAAAGTTTCAAAAATATAATATTGCTGATTTTTACTTTATCTGCTTTGTGCAAGAAGCAACTAATTATCCTTTGCACATAGTTTACAGTCTTTCCTGCTCTTCCCCCTCTCCTATCTGTGCCATCCGTAAAAGGAGGCATCACTGGTGTCGTGGCACATCCTGTAATCCTAGCACCCAGAAAGTAGAGACAAGAACATAGCGCTCAGGGCCAGCCTGAGCTGCATAGAGGGGTCTGTCTCGTAAAGCAATGCAAGGGCACATGTCCCTGCTCATTTTCATCCTACCACACAGTCAACTCTCAGACTGAATGAAGCTCAGGAATAGACTGAGGTAACTATTCTACATACTAAGGAAAACAGTTTTAAGGAGAATCACATGACTTTTTGGCCAAGTGAGGATGTCCCAAGGCTCATGATGGGCCTCAGGAGCAGCTCCCATGCTTGTCATTTGCCACGCCCTGGGTTCTATTCCCAGCACACATACACGCACTCCAAGGACAATAGTATAGTCAGGCATATTCATTTTGACTTTATAGGACGATTCATCCAACAAGATCTTTACATTCTTCATTCTTCTAAGAGAAGGGGCACTTAGTTGGGCTGCTCCGAGCTTTCATTTCTGCTGCTCTCTCTGTTCCCTGTTATGATGTATAAGTATATTGACCACAGGGCTCTGAGAATCGTTTGAATCTAACCCCCAATGAGGTTTTAGATCTGCTTCCTTATTTTAGAGGTTATGCATTCCCTTCTTGGTTAGGGTTGAACTGACAGATGTCCCTTGAGTGGAAGCTGGGACATCCCCAGTAGGGACTGCAACTGTGGACACCACACTCTGTGAGAGGGTTGTGAACCAGTGCTTGTAGGAGCAGCAGCTTCAGAAACTGACTGGAGAGGTGGGTTTGATGGCTCCAGCCAGTTTCCCTTGCTGCATAGCCACTGTGTCTTACAAAAGGAAGCATCTCTGAATCCTCCTCCTACGTGCTTCAGCCTGGACTCTCTGCTTCTGAAAAACAGTGGGCTTACTTTGAATGCCTTTTTTTTTTCCCCTTCAGATGAGCCCTCGATGTGCCAGCCTGGCCCTGAAGCACTACCTGCTAAAGCCAGTTCAGAGGATCCCTCAGTACAGGCTGCTCCTGACAGGTGAGGTCTCGCAACCTTACCAGCCAAGTGAGGCCGAGTGCCCTTACTGAGTACTGCATTTCCTAAGCCCACCCTCTCTGTCTTCTCTAACCGATGCCTGATGGATGAATTACATCAATGGAACTGAACCACTTTCACTTTGTGACCATCCAGTGTCCACACTCACCTCAGGGCACTCCTGTAGGTTGTGTGTGCCCGCTGTTCTGAGCGTCCTTCACCATGTCAACTCTCATCCCGTGTTGTTTCATCCCATGATGTTATGAATCCCAAGGAGGTATCCTCTCACCTCCCACGTGCTTGTACAGCTCTGTCCGGGACCCTGATTCTTTCCTCTGTTGTTTTGAGGATTGACTAATGAACTGAAGTGTGTGTATGGGCCTTAGAATAAGTCTTTGACAGTTTAACTTCTAATAATACTAGCTATTCTTAGCCATCGCAACAGTAACCTTACTATTACTATTTGGGTATAATGACTACCGTTTGCAAGGTTTTAGACTTCTGGCAGTTTACAAGGGAATATGAGGTGTGATTTGGATGAATGTACATGTACTTGGGTCCTTTCGTTCCCCGGCTTAAAACAAGATACCAGGCTTATAAAGATTAGGTGGTTTGATATCGTAACAGAAACTAATACACATAATGTCAGTGCCAAAGATACTATCTGATACATACTGTTATGTCTACTGATGTTTGCTGAAGTGTATTGAGGAGGGCTATAGATATAGATAGATATAGATACAGATACAGATATAGATATATCCCTCCTCAATACAAATATATATTTGTGTGTGTATATATATACATATATATATGCATTATACTTTTATCGCAGTATTTAAGATCATTGAAATGCCACTGCAGCTTAGTAGACACATGTGCTTTGGTGTAAATAGAATATGAAGTACTTGGCTGTGACTATTGTCCTTGAAAGAATGATGTACATTCTGTCTTCTTAGTCAAGTGCTCCTAAACCAGGATTAATCAAGGTGTATGTGAACCTGGAAAAGCAGCATTTGCTCGGGTCCCTTGAGGCAGGTGTGGCAGGCTTTCCTGGATTTGTAGTGATAAGAGTGGATGGCAGGTCTTTTTCTTTCAGACCTGGGACCTGCCAGCCAAGGTGTACCAAGAGCTCAACTTGAATGTCTGACTGCAAATTAGGCACTGGCTTTCTCTCTAGAATGACACAAAGCTACGCAAATAGTTTGAGGAAATCCTGCCGTCTGCTTTCCTCTGCTTCTGGCTGAGATTATTAATTTACAGGACAAGGGGAAGTGCTGACACCCAGTGTTTTTGCTAGATAAATCAACATTCTGTTGTAACCTGCTACTCAGTAGCATTGGCCATTGTCACAGCAGTAGAAGGAGGGCTGCTTTTAGTGACAAAAACAATCATGGCTTCAGAGATGAGAAGGAAGGCTGCAGCTACTGAAAATGAAAGTGTAAAAGATACCTTTTCCCCTTGTACCGTTGCTGGTCTACATAGTTAAAAAGATGCCTGTGTTTAAGTTAGATTGTATGCTAAGTTAGTTTTGGTGGAGAAATGAGAAAAACCAGTTTTTAAAACTATGTATGTCATCTTTTTAAGACAAGTTTCATTGTGGAGGCAACAAAGTTTGCCTCAAACTACTTATACTTCCGCCTCAGCCTCTTGAATGCTGGGATTATAGGCCTGCGTCACATACTTAACATTTCTTTTTATTACGTTTACTTACTTGTTCGTGTGTTGTGTGAGGTATGCGTGCACATGTGTGCCATCACACACATGTGAATGTCAGAAGACAACTTGCAAGAGTCCATTTTCTCCTTCCTATGTGGGTCATGTGGGTTGAAGTCAGCTCCTCAGGCCGGGCAGCAAGTGCTCGAATCAACTCAGATGTCTCACCAGACCACGCCTGGCTTTTTAAAATGTTTTTTTTTTTAATCTTTTATTTTTGAGATTATAATTACATCGTCTCCCCTTTCTCTATCCTCCCTCAAAGCCCTCCTATGTGCCCCTCCTTGCTCTCTTCCAAATTCATGACCTCTTTTTACATTAATTAAAATCTGTTTTTAAGAAAATAGGTTTGGGGCTACGGGTGCGGCTGAAGTGGTAAAATGCTTGCCGAGTAGGCCTGAAGCCTTGGATACACCGGGCATGGTGGCATGTGCCTGTAGTCAGAGCAAACAGACTTTTTGCTGTTGGTTTACAATACCAACATCGTGTGAGGTTGGACTCTTAAGCTTTTCTTCATTCAAGGGGTTGGTGGGTTCTTAAATTTTGATTTTAATGTTGTTTGAGGCAGGGTTTTGTCATGCAGTCCTGGCTGCTTTGGTACTTGCTATGTAGCCCAGGTTGGCTTCACACTCACTATAATCCTCTTAGTGCAGTCTAATGAGTGCTAAAATTACAGCTGTATTCCAATACACTAGTCTTTTGTGGTTATTTTAATTTTGGTATATATTTTTTAAAAAGTTACAAATATAATCTACATAAGAGCCTAGGCTGGCCTAGAATGCATTCTATAACCTAAGCTACCTGGAACTTGTAGAAATCTTCTTGTATGTGAGTGTGTATGTGTGTATGTGTGTATATATGTATGTATGTATGTACATATACATGTATGTATGTTTGTATGTTTACCACATGTGTGCTTGGTGCTCATCAAAGTCAGAAAAGGGTATCAGATGCTCTGGAACTGGAGTGAGAGGTGGTTATAGCCCATTACAGAGAGCTGGGAATTGAACATGGGTCCTCAGAAAGAGTACACAGACTCTTAACTGCTGAGCCATCTCTCCCTTCTGGACGTTAAGTCTTAAGTCTGCATTTGTTTAAATGATTAACTGGGCTCCCATGTTTGGAAAAACAAGTTCAAATAGCTTAATCCTCCCAAGACCTTGTAATTTCAAATATAAGAGCCTTGCAGTAGACAAAAGGAAGAATAAGCTTTTATTTGAATTAACCGCTGATGTCGATTATTATCTAGGCATTTGGCAGAGTAGGGGAAGATTCCTGCCTGACTCAGTGTAAGTAGACTTGAACTTGCCTTTCTTGGCAGAGGGAGTCTGAGAAATGCATAGAGAGGAAGGACTGATAGGAGGTGGTATTTCTTTTAGAGAAAAGTGTGTGGGAATCCCCAGAGGCAGTACTCTGTGCCACTGTTTAGCTATCCTTGGCTGCTTTTTTTCCCCTTTTCTTCAGTGTTTTGCCCCCATGGGAGAACTTCAGTTCTCTCTCCATTGTAGTAAAAAATTCCAGCTAGATTCTTAGTGGAAGTCCTTATTAAACCCCCGGTTGTAAAGCATATGGCCATGACTCAAACCCTCCAGCACCAGTAAAATAAATGCCTGTATACATTCAGTAATTCTTGGTAGTAGTTTCTTAAGATCAACTCAGAATATGATCTAAAGAGAATGCATACAGTATAAAGTGCTCAAGGAAACATAGTGAGTGAGTTTCCTAATGAATCCCAAATGCTTTTACATTTTATTTTGTGTTGACTGGTCAAGGCTAATGCATCACAGTCAGGTGCTGTCCTGAGTGTGTGGGACACCAGGTCCTCTCGAGTTAGCAAGGGTGGAAATTAGGAGGCGGCAGGCAGGAAGAAAGCAGACAGTGCCACAGAAGCAGGACTCGTTGCTTCTTTCTCATCTCTTCAGGAAACAAGCTATCTGGGACTCAGGGATCTTGACCCATATCAAAGACTTGACCAACTGAAAGGCTCAGGAAATGAGTAGTTGCTCCTTTTCATGAAGTCCAGAATCCTCCTGCAAGAGCACCATGAGTGTGTGCCGGGTAGATAGATCACTTCATAGCGTTTGAAATTGAAAGCAGTCTTCCATGACTCGGGCCCTTCCAGAAGGACTAAACTCCCTTCCTAGTCTTACTTCCTGGGAGGATCTCCAGGTTCTCCTCTCCCTCTGGCTGCTGCTCCTGTTGTGATCCGGGTCAGAGTTGCCCCCACCTCCTCCATGCTACAGACACACCTTCATACTGGCCACGCCACCTATTATCAGACCCTGTGCAACCCAGCAAAGTGTTGCTTCATTTCCCAGCCTAAGGTACATGTCCTTTGATTCTGCTTATTAGATTGTGTTGATTGATTTATTTGTTATCTAATTTATTTGCTTATTCACTTTTGTACTAGGAATTGATCCTAGGACCTCAGGCCTGCTCAGCCGGTGTTCAGTCAGTCAGCTGTGTCCCCAGCCCTCCTTGTGCATACTAACTAGTAAAGTTGAGAGCACACCCATCACAGTCTAGAGACCTCAGTTTATAGCCCCAGCTTATGCAAATCTTACTTCCCTTTGCTGAAGCCTGTCCTCCCAGACTCTGTTCACTCATACATTAATCACGCCCTCAGCACGCGCTCCTATGGGCCAGCCCTGTCCTGGACACCAGGGACTGGGAGATAGCACAGTAATGGCCCTTGCCCCACAGGCTGCACAGTCCTCTCTGAGGCTATGTCCAACTACTCAGGTTACCACTGGGCTCTTCTACTCTCCCTAAAATTTGTCTGGATCTTGCCACTTGTTATTTTTGGAAGGGTCACCTTTTTCCTTTGAAGGGCTCTTTTATGCACATAAAAATATGTAAGTAATATAAAAAATCCAAACCCCTTTTCATCTTCTATTGTTTGGAAATGACTCATAGACTTTTTCAGATTTCCTTCTTATCTCTACCTATATTATATATTATATTAGAATTTTCTCAATAAAAGCATTTTTTTATTTGTGGAACATTATTACATTGATATTGAAGGAAGTAGAATCAGACAGGATCACTGAGGAGAAAGTATATTGAAAAATATAATTTAAAACGTTTCTAAAAGTCCTTTCCAATTCCACAGTTATGGGGAAACAACCGTCCTTTGAACTTCAATTCGTTGTAATTTCTTTGATCTTGTTCAAAATATTGACATTATATTAAAGTTGTTTTAGTGATATGCTTTAGTACTCTTTCCTGTAGTCTTTGCCTTTGTCTGGGATGACATTAATTCCCTCTAGCTTTTAGAAATCGGAGAC